AGGGGGGCTGCACCTTTGGTTGCCATGGAAGCTGGTGATGTCACGAGTGTTAACCCCACCCCCCCAGAAATGGGGGCAGGCAGTAAATCAGGCCCCAGTAGGGTGGGGTTAAATGGGAGGGGTCCTGGACCAGGGTGGGGGGGTGGAGACAGGCATTGCTCTCCCCCCTCAGTAATGTCACAAAGGAAGCCATCTTGGACAGGAAGGAGGCAGGACCCCCCCCAGCCTCCTCCATGGGTGGGAGAATGATACAGTCCATTATGGGTAGAGCTGGGTCCATGGTGCCATCTTGTTGGTGGAACCCCCCACTTCCTGTCCATAATGATGTCACTTCCTGGTGGTGAAAGAAGTATTGCCAGCCCATATCAGGGGAACAGGAAGTGACATCCTGGCAACTATTTCCTGTCCATAATGATGTCACTGCTTGGTGGTGGAAGACAGTATTGCCAACCCATGGCAGGAGTAACAGGAAGTGACATCTCAGCATCTACTTCCTGTCCATAATGATGCCACTCTATGATGGTGGAAAATGGTGCTTCAGGTAACAAAGAGCAGCAGGAAGGGGAGGGACCACAGGGCTACTATCTGTTTGGAACAAGGCTAGTGGTGGAAGACAACATGGCCACCTCAGGGGCAGCAGGTAGCAGTTATAGCAGGGCGACATCCTGTCCATAATGATGTCACTGCCTAGTGGTGGAAGATAGGACTGAACCCTACAGCGGCAGGAAGTGGTGTCCAGTTGGCTACTTCCTGTCCTTAATGATGTCACCGCCTGCTGGTGGAAGACAGTATCGTATCCTACAGAAGCAGACAATGGTGTCCAGTTGGTTACTTCCCATCCACACTGGTGTCACCACCCAACGGAAGACAGAGGCAGGAAGTTGTATCCAGTTGGCTACTTCCTGTCCATACTGATGTCACCGCCTCATGGAAGAAGACAATATTGTGTCCTACAGAAGCAGGAAGTCATCTCCCGATGCCTACTTCCAGTCCATAATGATGACACTGCTTGATGGAAGAAAATAGTACCACATCGTACAGAGGCAGGAAGTGGCTTCCAGAGGGCAACTTCCTGTCTATAATGATGTCATTGCACAGTGATGGAAGACAGTACCATGTCCTACAGAACCAGAGGGCAAGTTCCTGTCCATTATGGCATCAGCACCCAGTGATGGAAGACAGCATCATGTCCTATTGAGGCAGGAAGCGGTCTCCAGGCCGCTACTTCCTGTCTGTCCTGATGTCACTGCCCAGTGGTGGAGGATGGTCCTGCAGCCAATGGCAGTGGCAACAGGAAATTATGGCAGGGCTGCTATATCCTGTCCCAGTCAGTCCGTTGTCCCCTAGTCGCAGCTGCTGGTACTGCAGCTTTCCCGGCCAATCCAGGGGGCCAAACCATGGGTGGGGGGAGGAGAGAGAAGCTCTTGCTACTGGGCAAACTGGGAGCCAGCCCCGCCCCCAACTGGGATGGAAGTTGGCAGCGATGGCAGTGACCCCTAGTGGTGTCTTTTGAGGTTCAGAAGTTGCAGACAGAGAGAGAGAGAGGTCCTGAGTTGTCTGGGTTGGGGGCAGGCAGAGAAAGAGGAGGGGGCGGAGCCATGGGCTGGGCTACGTGGCATCCAATTGGGCTGTCTCTCTGTCATTGCGGGGCAGGACTTCGGGCTCATCCAATCGTCGGAATGGGGGCAGCTCCTCGACGTTGTGGAGGGAGGGTTCCCTGTACATGGCCACTGGGAGGGGTGGGGGAGGAAGAAGGGAAAGGGGTCAGAGGTCAGCTCCATGCACTGTTATCCCCACACACACAAACACTCCCTCATGCGAGGGGGGTCAGGGCGTGCAAAGGGAGGGGGCTTACAAGAAGCGGGTGGCTGGCAGGGTGGCCCTCATGCAAAGTGGCTGGTTCACCTGCCTGCAAAGATGCAAGGGGGGGTGGGTTCATGACCACCGTCATGTGAGGGGACCCAGCCACAGTTGTGCAATGGGACCCAGCTCTTCCAGCGGCAGGTGTGCAAGGGGGCCCAGCTGCAAGCGTCCAATGAGACCAACTCAGCCCCCTGCCATTGTGCGAGGGCACCCAGCTCCCCCAGCCACAATCATGGCTGCAGTCATGCAAGGGAACCCAACTCCCCTGGCTACAGTTGTGCAAGGGAACCCAGCTACAGTTGCACGAGGGGACCCAGCTGCAAGTGTGCAAAGAGACCAGCTCAACCACTCACAATCATGCAAGGGGACCCAGCACCCACAGCCACAATCATGGCCACAATTGTATGAGGGGACCTAGCTGCAGTCGTGTGAGGAGACCCAGCCACAACCATGCAGAGACCGGCTCAACTACCCACAATTGAGCAAGAGGTAACAGCTCTCCACCCCAGCCTTTGTTGTGTGAGGGGACCCACCTCAACCGCCCACCATCGTGCAAGGGGCCCTGGCTCCAGGCCTCACCTTCGAGGAGCTTGGGCAGGAAGTGGGCGGCGGCTTTGGTCTTCTTGACTCGGTTTCCCTTCATGGGCTGCCCCTCCTTGTTGAGGCCAAGGTACCAGGAGCGCCCAGACTCGCGCTGCCGGTACAGGGTTGAGGCATAGGTCACATAGTAGTTCTCGAACACACACTCCTTGAAGCGGCACTCAGCCGTGAAGTGGGCCTGGGGTGGGGGGTGACAGACGACTCTGCTACATTTATGGTGCAATTCCCTCCAGCGAATTGTGTAATATATGTAACTGTGTTGAGGGGGTTGCAATGCTGCCCGCAGCTGTTGAGGATCAGCCACAGACAAGGCATGGCATCCCCTGGCTGGATCCCCTGCTCACTCCCCTGCCTTGTGTGATTAATGCAACGTGTGTCAGAGGCACACAGGTTGACAGGGTGTAGTGGGGAGGTTGCAATACCAACCACAGCCATGGGGGGGAGGCAGGGACCAGGTACAGCACCTTCGGCTGGATCCCCACTCCCCTGCCTCGCACGATATAGGTAATGTATGTAAGGGGGGCACACAAATGAGAGTAATGGGGGGTTGCAATGCCACCTGTGGCCACTAGGGGCAGCCTGGAACCAGGCACGGCACCCCCACTACACCCCCACTCACTCCCTTGCCTTGCGTGATATATGTAACGTGTGTCAGGACTACACAGATGGGGCAGTATCAGGGAAATGAGCCAGGCACCAGGCATGGTGCCTGCTGCTGGACACCCCCCCC